ATATAAAATATCCTTCTTTTTTTTTGGAGACGACAGTTATCTACTTTGTTTTTGTTCACACTGCAGGCAAATGCAACCCTAATCAGATTTTTTTTTGCCCCATGTGACCCTTATTGGATTTTTTTCACAACAGTTTGAACATGACAAATGAATGTGGTGCATATCTGATGCTTTTCAAAACAACCTCAGTTTGAACGCTCMTGTTGYATTTTATCCAACTTTTATGTCAGTGAGGTGGGGCTGCATTTAGACTGATCCAAGTAAAAATAATGACRCTAACCTCGAGTCATACAGTTTAAATCTTGTAGCTCCAMAYGTCTTCAGCTACAGAACATTAGTTGCTTCGTCGCTGYTCTTTTAATTTTCCGTGTCCTGGATGACTGAGAATCCACAGAAACATGTTGTCTCAGACTGTAGCAATACCAAAGTCACTGGATTGACGCTTCAGTTAGTTTTACTTACCGTCTGTTGCTTCATTTCATAAATACATCCTGCACAGASAAGCTGCAGGTTCAAATTTAAACAGTGAACTAAGCATGTCAGATAATTACTTAACCAGCAACAACTTCAGAATCATAATGCTAACAAGTAGCATCCATATTTACTTCTGTAAACAGAGAGCTGAATGGGACGTCGCATCATCTACTGTGCGTGCACGTCGCTGTGGAGAGTTCACACTGGAGTCTGGTGGAAGTCACATTTATATTGTGAACGACCATGTAAAAAAAAACATCTAATTTTTGCAACAAATCTTTACTGAGCGTTAAGACCTGCAGTGTGAACGTCGCCAAAGACTCACCACGTGTAACTTAGCATCAATCAATTTGGTCAGAAATAAACTATTTTCTTCAAACTGAGCCATCTACAACAGGTAAGATATTAATTGTTCAGAACTTCTCAACAGAACTCTACTTCAAAAGATCCTAATTATTTATTTAACGCATCATCTTGAATTTAAAAACAAGGACTAAAACAGTCATTTTTATCAGCTCACACACGTCAGACCTGGTAGTTTAGGGAGCAGTATGAGGCTGCAGGGACTCAGCTCAGTAACATGAGCACTCATGAGTCTGAATCAGGGTCACAGCTGGGCTTTGAAATATGAGCATCAAGGCAAAAAAGAACTGCTTAATGAGAACAGATTAATGCTAAAAATAAGTAAATAAAAATAAAAGCAATTTGACATGAATAAACTGCAGGTGAGAAAAGTTTAATCACCTATTGCACCAAGCACTGGGGCCGGTATGTGTGTGTGTGTGTGTGTGTGTGTGTGTGTGTGTGTGTGTGTGTGGTAATGGGCTGGGGGGATGGGTTCACCACAGGAATTAGGTAATATTGACATGGTTGTTTCAACCCCACCCTCCCAACAAAACCCTGATCGATAATGGCAGATCAATAAAAGTCATTGGCAATAACTGAACTTCTCCTGTGATCACTGAAGGAGAAAATTCAAAATTTTTGCTCTCCCCGCGCGTCCATTTATCACGCCGAGGGCCTGAAATCACGCACTGAGGACTGCACAAAATCATGTACACACACACACACACACACACACACACACACACACACACACACACGTGTCAGCC